AGGGAAGTTCCAAGTTCCAATCTGAGTCTCCTGCTCTCCAGATATCCTCTCTCTGCTGCGAGTCATGTCGCTGCACCATGAAATCCACAGTGTCTCGCCCGCCAATTGCCCAAAGTGTAGGGCTCATGGTGGGGGCCCTGACACAGGCAGTCTGATCAGCACTTGCTCGCCGCCTTTCCAATGCATACAATGCCGGAGGCGCACCCCTACGGAGCCGAGCCATAGGTAGAGCAGTTGATGAGCTACAAGGTAGACAAGAGTCAGCAACCTTTCAGCTCCGGTCCAGCCCCCACGACATGTCATGTGGATAAAAAGAAGCAACCAGACGACAGAAACATACCCTGAACGAGCAGTCGAGGATCTGGCTCCAGGCGCCAACACACTTGAGCCAGTTGATGGCGCGGGTGCCATACTTCTTGATAACGGCGCGAGATTGGCGAGAACGCGGATCCAGCCGAGGCCGCGCTTCTCGACGAAAGCTTCGTCCCGGGCCACGGGAACGTCGTCCGAGACCCTGGTCTTAGATTGATTGCTTTGCTCCTATGTCCGGCCAGCTTGCCGGCCGACACATTTACCGTTGATGTCGACCGGGACGTATGCTGCTGCGGGGTTAGAGATGTTGTAGTTATACACTTGACTAGAGTCACATCTTTCACCTTTGTCGGGCGAAACGTGCATTAAGGGACACCGCATTCCTTACAGAAATGTCGGACCGGCCCGGTCCCCGGATAGCGTCCTTAGATAGCACTGCCGGAGAGCACGCTCGGATGAAACGTCCGGGAAGAGCCTCCGGAATCTCCTCTAAATAACACCACTGTACTCTGACGAAAGTGTCATCCTATATAATATAGGTCGATACCTGTACGACCATAACGACTTTTGTAACAGGCTTGGCCTGGCATGGGTCTTGGTAGCCCTCGGCCGTTGTTCACGTGGCGTATACACGCGACAACTGCTTGTTAAAAACCGTCTCCTCTTCTCCGGTCAACTAGCTTTCTCTCTCCTTCTCTCTTTATTCGAGGCGAATTAGTCAGCTCCCTACAATTCGTCACCAAATGAAGGCGATCCAGGTAACGATCAAATACGCTACGGCGACAGGAAGACTGGAGCTGAACGAAGAAGAGAGACTGGAACATTCGCAGTAGAGGAGAACAACCAAAACACTACGCGGCCTCAACCAGCAGGTGCCGTTTTAGCTGCTGAAGATAGGACGCTAAACACTTGGAGTACGTAGCCTCTAATCGATCTGCTAAAAACCAGGTCAAGAGGCTACAGGCGGCGTGAGAGAAGGGGGAAGAGTAAAGGGCTTGTACGCTTTACTTTGGTAGCGTATTGTGATGGACCAGCCTAGTCGGATCTCAAGACCTCCAGTCTCGGATACGAGTTTGATGTAACGGGCTGGGCCCGGTGCGAGCCTCGGCGACTCTCGGCCAATACCAAGACCCCTGATGAGGCTATTCCCACTCGCCCCACAGCACACCGAACCTTCT